AGTCCAACTTCGAAGGGTCGGAATTTTGTGAAAAGAGCTTCCAATTGTTGAAAGATAAGCTCACCTCCGCTCCGGTTTTGACCATACCCGGAGGGCACCGAAGGGTTTGTAGTATATTGTGAAGCTTCCCGAGTGGGTTTGGGTTGTGTCCTTATGCAGCATGGTAAGGTTATAGTTTATGCCTCGAGACAACTCAAGGTGCATGAGAAGAATTATCCAACTCATGACCTTGAGCTAGCGGCCGTAGTCTTTGCTTTAAAGATTTTGAGACACTATCTCTATAGGGTACATGTAGATGTGTTTACCGACCACAAGAGTCTTCAATATGTTTTTAGACCAAAAAGAATTAAATCTCCGACAAATGAGGTGGTTGGAACTCTTAAAAGATTATGATATGAGTGTCCTTTACCACCCCAGAAAACAAAATGTGGTTGCGGATGCTTTGAGTCGTATATCTATGGGTAGTGTGTCATATGTGGAAGAAGAGAAAAAGGAGTTAGCCCGTGATGTACATAGGCTATCCCGATTGGGTGTCCGACTTGAAGATTCCCCAAAATGAGGTGTCATGGTCCGTCATAATTCCGAGCCATCGGTTGTTGTTGACGTGAAGTCTAAGCAACATCTTGACCCTATTTTGATGGAACAAAAAGAGTCTGTTCTCAACAAAGCAATAGAAACTTTCTCTCAATGAGAAATGGGGTGTTTAGTCACCATGGATGATTATGTGTGCCGGATATTGATAGCCTAAGAGAGACAATCTTAGAGGAACCCATAGGTCCCGATACTCCATCCATCCGGGAGCAACAAAAATGTATCGCGACTTACGTGAGATTTATTGGTGGAACGGAATGAAAAGAGAAATAGCAGATTTTATGGCTAGGTGCTCAAATTGTCAACAACTCAAAGCCGAGCACCAAGGACCGGGAGGTCTAACTCAAGATATTGATACGCCCACTTGGAAGTGGGAAGAGATCAATATGGACTTCGTGGTAGGTTTGCCTCGAACCCGTAGGCAACATGATTCCTTTTGGGTCATTGTGGATAGATTGACTAAATCAGCCCATTTCTTTCCCGTCAAGGTTTCTTATTCGGCGGAAGATTATGCTAAGTTGTACATTAAGGAGATTGTGAAATTGCATGGGCCCGTTGCCGATTATTTCGGATAGAGGTGCCCAATTTACTTCCCATTTTTGGAGGTCTTTCCAAAGTGGGCTTGGTACTCAAGTGAAACTTAGTACCGCATTTCACCGTTAAACGGATGGTCAAGCGTAACGCACCATCCAAACCCTAGAGGACATGTTGAGAGTGTGTGTCATTTACTTCAAAGGTAATTGGGATGACCACCTACCTTTAATAGAATTTTCCTACAACAATAGCTATCTCTCGAGTATTACTATGGCACCCTTTGAAGCACTTTGTGGTAGAAGGTGTCGATCTCCGATTGGGTGGTTTGAAGTAGGTGAATTTTCCCTTCTTGGTCCCGAGGCATTCTATGAGGCTACGGAAAAAGTTTGACTTATAAGAGATAGGTTGAAAACGGCTCATAGTCAGCGAAAGTCTTATGCCGATAATAGAAGGAGAGATCTTGAATTAGAAGTAGGTGATTGGGTCTACTTAAAAATCTCACCCATGAAAGGGGTGATGAGATTTGGTAAGAAGGGGAAGCTTAGTCCCCGGTATGTTGGGCCTTATGAGATCTTGAAGCGTGTCAGAAAGGTCGCTTTTGAGTTGAAATTACCCATCAAATTGGCCCCGATTCACCCGGTGTTCCATATTTCTATGTTAAAGAAGTGTATAGGTGACCCGATATACATTCTCCCTCTAGAAGGTTTAGGGGTGAATGATAACCTTTCTTATGAAGAGGTTCCGGTCGAAATCCTAGATCGTCAAGTAAAGAAGTTGAGGAATAAAGAGGTTGCCTCCGTAAAAGTCTTATGGAGAAACCACCTAGTTGAGGGTGCAACATGGGAGGCCGAGGCCGACATGAAGTCCCGCTACCCTCATCTTTCCCTACTACTCCTAGCCATAGTTGAGGGTAGTAGTCTCTCTTAATTAGGGATAAATTGAAAATCATGTGTGTTGATGATTATGACATGATTTCCTTGTATGTGCATATTTTTGCGAAAAATTCATGCTTAAAGTTGTATTTTGAGTTTTCATGAATTTTCTTTCTCATGGTTGGAATTTCAGCCATAGATGTTGTCTTCATGAGAGTTGTCATGACCATGCTTGATGTTGTCTAGCTAAAGAAATGTGTTGTTGATTGCTTAATATATATGTTGATGCTCATTGAATATGGAGAAGGTAGTTCCTCCTATACTTATGTGAAGTAAAGAGTTTTGAGCATAGTGATGTTCTGGATTAAATTCCTATATGATATGATGATATGATGCTGTTGATGTGACTGGTTCTTGTGCTGCTAGTTTGAGTCATTGTCTCCCTAGAAAGAAGTCCAAGTGACATTCGGGGACGAATGTTCCTAACAGGGGGATATTGTAACACCCCGGAAATTCTATGACTTAAGTTAGAGCCTTACCTTATGAATATTGACTTAAAAATAGTTAAAATGATTTTTATAAACCTAAATTAATATAATTGACTTGGTTTGGAAGAGTAAAAGTCTAAACGTCAAGAAACGACCATGACGTGCGCAAACTAGAGAAGAATGTGTTCTAGTGTGTCCTTAGGTTTTGGGCAGGTTTGGGAGTGTCGTATGATGGTATAATCTTGTAAAAAGAGTTAAAATAGGTAAATCTAAGTTTATGGGGTCAAAACATTCGAATACGATGCCTCGGGACCACCCAAAGGGGACCCCAGCCTTGGCCAAGCAAGCTTGCAAATTTCTCTTGGAGGGAACAAGGGCGCGTCGCGGCCTTGCTCCCCCAAGGAGCAAAAAGTTTGTTCGTGACACGGTCTTGTTGCGGACTCTACTGTGCTGAAATTTAATTCCAAATATCTTCAGGAAACATCTCAAGTCCGCGACGAAAATGCAGAAATTCAGAAATCTATTTTTACTTCATTAAAGAGTCCATTTAAGTGAGGGGTATTTAGGGTACTTTAAGGGACGTGTATATAATGATTTTTAAGACAATTTACCTCACTTTTATCACTCAAATAGAAAACCTCAAAGATCTAAACCTAAACTTCCTCCTTCTCTCTACTCTCTATCTCTCTCTTCTCAAGAACTCCATTGAAGAAGATTGGAGCTTCAAGAAGAAGACCAACTCTGCAATGTTTCAACTCAGATTTTCGTGGTCAATTCGTCAATAAGGTATGGTTTCTTATCACTCTTGGGATTCCTTTCCCCAAGAGGCCCCTTCAAGATGAATTTCAAAATCTCCAATTTCTAGGTTTCAATGCAAAAACGTGGGTCTTCTTTCTAAAGTAAAATTGATGTTATAAACTGACTTTGATTGAATTCATATGAACAATCATGGATGAATTTATGTTGTATTGGTGGTTTCTTGAGGAATTCCCTATGGAACCCATGTTTCTCCTTCTTTTCCTAATTCTAACCCTAGTTTGTGTTGGATATTGATGGAAGGCTATCAATTGATTGTGATGTTATGTAATTCATGTTTGTATGATGATTCTACCCTAGGTTATGTATAATTTCTATGAAATTAGGGTTGAGTCTTTGAATGAAGCCTTGAAGACTATGAAGGGAATATGTCAATTGCTTATATTGATGTTGATTATGTTATTACTTCATGAATTACCTTGTATTATGTATTGGTTATGAACT